TTTGGGCATTTACCCAAATGCTTACAAACAAGACCACACTAAAGCTACCAGCACAACTATGTTTATTGCAGCATTATTTACCATAGCTAAGATATGGAGATAAGAATCTTATAGGCTTTCCTGCCTGGACTGGCTTTGAACCTCGATCCTCAGATCTCAGCCTCCTGAGTAGCTAGGATTACAGGCATGAGTAGGGCACCAGAATCAAATACAGTGAAAACTGTTATACCATGGGGTTATACCATGGGGGAAGAACATATAAAAGAAACAAAAAAAAATCATGTAGTACAAGTACATTAAAACGACAGCAAGAAAGATGAAACCGCTTGTGTCCCTATCCTGGGGTTCATTTCACTTAGCATCATCTTATATGGCCATATATACATAGCTTTTGACCTTTTCTGCTTGTCCTAGACATATACTAGATACAATTTTTTTTCAAGTCTCCATTTCCTAACAAATGGGATGGTGTCATTCTTTCTGATGGAGGCATTGAAGCCATTTTGAAGGAATCATCAAATCATTTTTCTATGAGGGTGTGATCAGGTGCAGCTTTTACATGTTTTATCAGAGCTGGGCAGACTCTGGCACTCCAAAGGTTGCTTGGCTTCTTCAGTCCAAGAAATCAACAATCATTGAACTTCATTCAATTTTATATTCTTTTGTTATTTTGATTTGTTTTCCTTTTCATTTTGTTTTTAATTCCCTAGGTATAATTTTAAAACTTCCCAAACTCTTCTTCCTTTATACCCACTCTGTCTCTGAGGTAACTCCTTTGTCATCATTAGATTATGCCTGTCAACTGTAAGTGGAAATGTCCCACTTAAGGGTGACTAGTTTCTAAGTCTCTAACCAATTACTGTAGTATTATATGACTCCCAAGTAAATCCATTTAGAGTAACTGACAACTTATAATTGCTTAATAAACCAAAATTTACGCAGACCTACATTTAGAACAACCTAATAAGCTGCTTGACAAACTGCATCTCTTCACACAAATATAATTGTAGCTGTGTCTGATGTGTTAAAAATATAGTGTAAAATCTTGAATGTCACTAACTTGAAATACTTGTTATTAAGGCTCTGACTTTATTATAAAGACATAAGGGGTGTTTTTTGATCAGGAAAATGTGTATTCTCTGAGATTTAACTTCAACTTTGAACAGCACAATTTATGTGAAGAAATTTAATGATTCTCTATCATATTTATTTAGTTATTATTTAATGATTATCATATTTATATATTCTAAAAATTCCCCAAATGATCAGTTTGAGTCATGATTTTTCCCAATGTGGATCTAGTTAAGTATCTGAGTTTCCAGAAGTCTCTGATTTTAAACAAAGTTTACAGTGCACATCCAGTCTCATCAAATATCTATTCAGAATAATTAATTACAAAATGTTATTGAGTGAATATGTACTCTGTGTTAAATCATATAGGCCTAATCGTATCACTTTGGCATTTTTTTAAAACCCAGGAAATTTAAGATTCTCTGCAAGAATATAATAAATACTTTTTATTACAGGAAGTTATTATTGTGATAATCCTGACTACTTCATGTCATATGTGGGAACCATTTATTTGAAAGTGAATTTTAACACTATATCTCTGATTTAATCTGCTTTTCTTTCCCGTGCAGAAGATTTTAATATCTTTACCCCACTACTGTCAATGCTAAAGGAGTTTTTATATTTTTATATATCTTGTCAGTCACTAACCAAACCTCTGAGGGTTGCTGGTGTCAGGCAGAGCACTGGGGTCTGCAGAGACTAAGCATGATAAGGAACAGGTACTGCACTTAAGGAACACATCAGTTTACTTCCTTGGTAGATTCATAAACAATAGGAGATTGTGATAGAAGTGTACATGAAAAAGAATTGTCATTTTCACAGTGGAGACTTGAAAAAAGCTTTATGGAAAAATTACATTTGATTGCATTTATAGTTAACTGGAATCTCAAAAGAACAGTGGGCACCTGTCAGGTAGACAAGTAGAAGAGAATCCTAAACACAGAATACTCATTCCAAACAGCAACACGCATGAAACACCCCTGCAGTACCAGAGAACAATTCAAATCCAGTTGGATGAGGAGGAGTAGACAGATTAGAAGAGATGAGACTGGAGAGGTAAACAGGACTTCTGTAGCCAACCCATAGTTGGCTTTCCCTCTGGATGGATCATTCTTCTGTCCCCAAACATATTCAAAGGCCAAATTTCTATCAGTTGTCCTAGTTGACAAGACCCGTTGTTTTCATTAAAGAGCTGCAGAATTCCCCTACTTTCATAGAGAAACCTAAGGAGGGAAGCTAGAGAAGATTCTTAACATACAGAAAAAGAAGGCAATACCATTTGCCTTTGGGGAAGCCCACACTGTTGTATTGATAGAAGAATCTTGGGCCTGCAGCCAGTGTCCAGTTAGCAAATTATTGCAGGTACTCAACTGATGCATGATGGAGCCTAAATAGACGCAGTGACAGGAAGATACAGGAGGACAAACCAAAAGGAGATTAAGGAGTTAATGCCATCAGCTCATGGTTATTGATTAGATATTATTGGTAGGGAAAAGGGAAGACTCAAGGGTAATCACCCAGTCTTCTACCAAGTAAATACTGATGTGATTTATGGAAGAACATGAACAGTGTAGGAAGAGGTGATGATTTTCCTTGTTAGACAATGAAAGATGGAGGTGTTTTTTTAAACACCCAATCCCCAAAAGAGTTTATACTCTGAATTGTAATAGCCAAAAGGTAGAATATTTGCACCATCAGCTTTAAAGGGAAGGCCAAATGGTTTTCTAAAATGTTCTCTAAGTGGATTTGCTCATTGGTACTATGTAAGCGTTAAGTAGTCAGAAAATTGAGTTAGGAAACTTCACTCTTCAGCTGTTTTTGAAATCTATATTCATACTGTGAGCCACCTCTTCCTGTGAGGAACCAGCCTCACTTCTTGTTTTTTTCTACTCTTATTTTTGAATGAAAATGAAAATGAGATATTTTATGTTTAAAAATAGCTTGGTTTATAATCTTATGTATTTGAAACATAAATTTAAAGCAAAATAAATGTTTTCCGGTTTGTTCATTTATCTTGTTTTTAAAACGAATTTTAAAAATTATACATGTGTAAACTAGAAGGGGAATATGGAAAAAATAAGACTAGCTCTGATAGAAATAGGAACTATTTTTCTTTGTTTAATGCAGCAAATAAAAAATGGAGAAAATGTGGGCTGGGGAAGGTGGCTCAGTGGTAAAATGCTTGCCTTACATGCATGAAGCCCTGGGTTGGATTCCTCAGCACCACATGAACAGAAAAGTCTGGAAGTGTCACGATG